CCATCCCCTTCCCCCACAGACTTACCTGCTGGGGGTCCACACCCCCAAATGATTTTTTCTCCCTCTGCCTTGATCTGCACTCCCCACTTCCCTCCCCACTAATTTACCTGCTGGGTCAGGGGCACACAGTAGATCTTTGGTAGCTTTTAAATGCCAAAGGTGATCTCCTACTTAAAAAGGTTGGAGACAACGGTCCTAAGAGGTCTGGCTGTCCTGGGCAATCTCATCCTGCTTGGGGTCTTATTCATTGTCATCATCAGGTAGGTTGCCTTCACCACTGTCCATACCATACCAGAGTTAGAGTGTGACTACCCTTGCAAACAGATGGTATAGCTTTTGGCATCTTTCCCCCCCCCCTTCTCCTCTATAAATAGTTGTTCAGTTGGAAAGCTTGGGCGTATTGGCCATTGTAACAGAGGGTTTATACCTGATACTTCTGGACAAAGTACAGACATTTGAAAAGCCCGAGGCTGAATTGATTCAGCCTTTGCATGTTAGTCTAAGCTGAAAAGATTAAACCAATAAGCAAGTAAGCAATCACTTTTGATTCATGAAATGTAGCTAAATGCCTGCTCAATCCAGAAGCCAGGGAGTGTTAGAGCATAACTCTGTGGCACACAGCCAGCATTAACTGTGTGTTCACTTCCTTTTCCCGCTTCCCCTGGGGTCTCTGGGATTTGCGGTCCACAGTCACAGCAGCAGGACTCTGCAGGGTTGCTCATCACTTCCTCTTCCTGCTTCCAGGTACCTCTGGGATTTGTAGTCCACAGTCGCAGCCAGCACTAAGTAAGCCAGCAGGGCAGGACAACACTGTACTTGGCAAAAGGTGCATTTAACCCCCCTCCCTGGCCCCAGTCCCCAGCCAGGGTTTACCGGGGGGGGGAGTGAGCTGGCCAGCCCTGCTCTCTGGAGCAGTCAGTACAGCCTAGCCTATGGCTGCAAAGCATACTGGGGGACTCTGATTTAACATGAACCAGGAGGGGTCTGGGACAGAAGTCTCATACACCAGTTTGACCTAAATCAGTTAAGCCACTTAAGTCTGATACTACATCGGGGTGGGCAAAACACGGCCCGCGAGCTAGATGTGGCCCACCAGGCCATTCTATCCAGCCCACGGGGCCCCTAGAAAATTTATAAAATTTGGGCAATCAACTCAAACATGGGGTCAACCTATGATCAGGTCTCCTATAATCTTGACTTTTGTATTTAAAGTACATTTGCACATGCAATAAAATACCAAGTCATTTTTTTCAAAGTCATTTCATTTTAGATTTTTTAGTATATTTAACCTTTTGAGTTGTTTCCTCAGTTATTTGATTCTCCTTTGTGATGTTAGAAAGGTAATGGCACATCTAAGTCTGTAAGTTATCAACTTAAATATAAGATAAAAGCTGCTTTTCCCAAAATTGAAAATATGGGATCCACTTAGAAAATGGTATTTTTTTTCCAGATCCTCCTGGAAAATCTAGCTGGAGCCAAAAACAGTAAGGGTGGTATCTTTATATCAGGACCCAGTGTAAATGCAGGAACTATTACTATAGGCAGAAACAGCTGTAATCCAGTTAAACACCAGCTAATTATCTACCTCCAAGCAAACAGCTATGACAGAACCCATTACACAAAAACAGGAGAGAGAGTTTTGGTTTCTTTAATGTTGTGGGGGGAAGAATGAGGGAAAACCACCACGCATGAAATCTAACATTCACTAAAAGCAAAAACAAAAAAAGGACCTCACTTTGGTCTCAACTGAAAAATCCACCCATAACTAGCAACATAACATTAAAGTTCATCAGCTTCAAAAGAACCAAGGGAAGAATCAAAGCTCCTCGAGCTTGAACCTGTGAATACGTGAATACAGGAAATTTAAGTATTTAACCTGATGCTGAAGTCTAATAAGCCAACCCTCCATTTGCTTAAATGACTCTCAGCAGGCCAAAATCATTCTACTTATATCTGTGAATAAGGTTCAAAAGTATGAAGAAGTAAAAAACAAAGTTTAAATACCTTTCAGTATTGAAAAACCTCAGAGGCTTTTTGTCATAGTCGCTTTCATATCTAAATCTAGAGTCCATTTCCTCATTTACTTCAGGATCATAATCAGGTCTGTCGCATCTTCTATCAAGATCACAATCCTCATCAAATCTGTGATGTCTTCCAACAGAAATGTCAGGTTTGTTAGCAAACCTGTGACACTTCCTATTGGAAATGTCCAGTTTCTCATCAAGTGTTTTCTGCAATATTCTCTCTCTTACTTCAGCTTCATCATCTGATCTGCGATATCTGCCCTCCTCCTGTCGTCTCCTATTTAGCAGCTCTTCATAAGCTTCCGTGGAAGTACAAGCATCTTTCCTGGGAGGTTCTGAATCTCCGCAAGAGGCTTCTATTTGTTTATGAAGCTCTGGCTGGACTCTGGTAACAGCAGCAGGTTTTTTATGTCGGTCTGTCTCATGCTGTTCAATAGGAAAAATATTAAAAGTTCTGAATACAAAGGGAAATAATTTACTCTTTTTCATCATCCCAGGTTAAATCACCTTTTTCCTATTAGCATTCCAGCAATAGCTTGAATAGCCCTGCAGTCCTCACTGATAGGTTCCCCATGATGAGATGAACTTTAGGTTTAAAGGCACAGCAAATCTATAGTGCCTGTAATCCCAGGTGTCCTGATGCTATCAAGGGTCATACAAGGAGTATCTCAGACTTCCAGGCCTGCGATATGGGTTTTAAACTTAAAAAAATACATATATATTTCCTCCCTCCGAAAAACATGCAATGCAAGGAAGGATAGCTGGTAGATAAAGACTAGCCCAAGATTCAGAAGACAATTGTTCAGAGAATTATAAACTAATAAGGTCAGAAGGGATCTCAAGAAGTCGTTTAGTCCAGCCTCTTGCTCAACACAGGATCATCCCTATTCAAAATTTCCTATATAGGGGTTTGTTTAACCTATTCTTAAAACTACACAAAAACCCTGTCACACAAGGTACATTGCTCGAGAACATCAGCAACACCATAGGTAAAGCAGGGAAACAATGGCACTGTTCGACTGTCTGCTCCACCAGCTTCTTTTATGACCTTGAGAAAGCTACTTAGCCTCAATGTTCCTCAATTCTGTAAAATGGGAAACAGTAGTGCTCCTCCATGTGACAGTGGAGCTGGATAATTAATATACTGCAGAGTGGGAGGTGCCAATAAGGGTCAAATAATTTTATTTGCACAGGAGTAAAACTCCAGTAGATTTCCCCTCCTTTGAGGGGAAGAGGCTAATTTGATCACTAGGCTCTGCTGTGATGAGCAAGGCTGTATTTAAGAGTTAAGCAATATGGTTGACAAGCCTTAGAAAATTAATAAGACTGAATACAACCTAAACCTGCAGCAGGGAAGGATTGCGTGAATGAGACGTGACTGGATTGTGGACCAAACAAACGTAGTCCTTGTTTTCCCACAGCAGAGATAGAGTTGCCCAGACTACTGGAGCAGGATAGGAAGCCTTGTTAGAGAATACCTTTATTCACTAGGACACTCAGTCACTGCAGTTTTGCTTCCTCTGCAGCACCACTTGCTAAAGCATCCTAAATCTCCTCTTCCCCTCCCCCATAATTTCTGAACTAAATCTCAGTTCAGCAAAGCAGCTTCAATTTAACAACTTTTACTGCCCTCCCCCTTCTCCATTACCCTAGAGGATGCAAAAGAACCTTACAGCTTTGCCTTTGGACAGAGTTTTTTTGTTTGTTTGTTTTGTTTTTTAACATATGGGTTTATAATTCTGAAACCATTAAAAGTATGCCTCAGAATAAAAAGAAGTAAACCCTTTAAGAAGAAATTCCTTCCATACTCTAGAAACCCTAAAAGCATTGGGAAGCAACATCTTTGCAGATTTCTCTCTTCCTTCTCCCCTCTCAGATCATCAACTCGTTGCCAGTCAACTAAAACAAGGTTGCTTGGACTATACTGATAAGGCCCTCTCCCCTGAGCCATTCTTCTGTGGGAGGGAGAAGTGCACTGTAGGATACTGGAGAACCCAGGGATGCCCTGTTGTGCTACACAGAGAGCGTCTCTACACACGTAATTAATGCACATGAATAAACTCCGGAGCTTACTGTGCCAGAGTTTTTTGCTCCTGGGCATGCTATCTGAACATGCACTCCAGAGCAATCAGCTCCACAGTTTATTCATGCACAGCACGTGGAGCCTCGGCAGAGCAGCCCCAACTGGCAGGGAGCCCCAGGGGTCAGCCTGCCATCTTGGGGCTACTCTGACTGGGCTCAGTGTGCTGCAGAGGGGCTGGCAGAGGCACGAGGGTGCTTCAGCATAGGTCTAGCTGGCAGGCAGCCCCGCACTGATACACCCTTGTGCCCCAGTCACTATCTACATGTGCTCTGCTGCGAACAAAAAGCTCTGCAGAAGGGTAGTACTTGTAAATATTGTATAGTACTTGGATTTACAAGTACTACTCTGCTGTATAGTTTATTAGTTTCCTGAGCCCTAACAGGGGTGCATATGTAGACACTCAAGCATTTAATGCAGAGCTAATTAGTCAGCTCCTCAGTAAATGTCTTGTGTAGGCACACCCAGAGTGTGATTAAGTAACAAATGCTTCATTTTGAAGCACTTCTAAATAGTATTTTCTTCCTTCATAGCTAGCTTTATACCACTTCCACCAAAGGGTACGTCAAAGGGCAAACGCTTCACATTCTGGAGAGATGTGTTTCAAAGGCCTTTGAATGTTATATCTGTACATATCTTCAGGCTTCCTGTGCTGTATTGATGAAAAAACTGCTGGACTGTCAGAATGGGCCAGCTTTACAAGGCCCCAAGTGCTCACTCTCCAGCTTTAAGGGCTTTACAGTACATCTAACACAGAACGGGAATTACTTTCAGAGTAGAAAAATTAGCTCACTTCATGCACACAAAAGCATCGCATGTCATAGTTTTAAATGTTACCAAAGGACTTCTGGACTTTTCCAAACCTGGAGCTCCTCTCCCAAAGGAACAGTCATTTAGCATTTTAGCCTTTGAAGATATATAAGCATCTCAAACAAGTATAACAAGCCTGTTCTTTAAAGCTCTCATTCAGGCAAATCTCCCATTTATCTCAGGAAAATGTTGGCTGAGTAAGGTAAGGACAGCAAAACTTGTAAGCTACTTTATGGGGGTAAACACCAAGATCTCTGAAAATATATAAACCCCTATTTAGTTGGTCTAATAAAAAGATACCACATTTATCCAAAGAACATTGTCTGCCTATGTCCTTAGACCAACACAACTATAACCCTATAACCCCTACTTCTCCCAGAAGCAATGACGTTTGAGGAGGTTTATTTTACAGACAGGCAGGCACATGCATCTTTTTTTTTTTTTTTTTTTTTTTTTGGGGGGGGGGGGG